ACCGATGTATTAGCTATCGCTGGCTCACTCACCGAATGCCCACATGTCGGACTCGCGTCCGTAGGACTCGCCGCGGCACAGCTCCGGGCTCATGAAGTAGGGCGTGCCCACGGACGTCTGGGCCATGGCCGACGTGTTGGACAGCGCCTTGGCGATCCCAAAGTCACCCAACTTGATGCTGTTCTCCTGCAGACAGACAGACAGCCAAGTCAGCGGTGTGTGTGTGTGGGGTGTGTGGGGTGCGTGTGTGGATGGTGGTGCTGGTTTTCCTGATGCTGACTGACTTTGGTGAGGAAGAGGTTTTGCGACTTGAGGTCTCTGTGGAGGATGCTCTTTGAGTGGAGGGACATGATGCCCAAAACTATCTGAGCGATCCAATCTGACACACATACATCAGAAGGCATACAAACAAACTGTGTGTGGTGGGGTGGGGTGCAGCACGTGTGTGAAGTGGGCACCGACCGGTGATTTGTTCGTGTGGGAACTTCTGGCCCCTCTCCCTGGTGTCGCGGATCTTGTGGTACAGATTCCCGCCCTCAGCATACTCCTACGACCGCACACGCACACGCACACGCACATCCATCCATCCACTCATGCACACATCTCTCTCGTCACACAGCCAGACATCCTCTCTCTCTGTGTGTGTGTGTGTGTGTGTGTGCCCACCATGACGATGCTGATAGTGTCGTCGCTGATCCAGCTGTCGTAATAGCGCACGACAGTGGGACCGGACAGCAACTGAACATACACACACACACACACACACGCATTCGTGCATCCATCCATCCATCCATCCATTGGTCCACACGCTGGCTGGCTGACTTTGAGAAGGACGACTTCGTTTTCAGCCAGCTTGCGCTCAGCGTCGGACATGTACTCGGTCTTGATCTCCTTGAGAGCCAAGATCTCATTGTCACGCACACGACGAACCAAATGCACAGACCTGACACACAGACAGACAGACAGACAGACGGACGACTCACATGTGCATCTGAGTGTCCGCAGCTAGCTATGTGTGCGACACGCACCCCGAGGCGCCTCTGCCGATGGTTTCCAGCCGCTCGTAGACCTCGTTGCCGGCCGGCTTGGCCTTGTTCTTTTTCCCGAAGTACTTGTACACCCCCTTCAACACCTGCACAGGCACAGGCACACAGCCAGTGAGTGACACACAGACACAGACACAGTAGTGGGTGGATTGGGAGAGGGAGGGGAGCGAGTGAAGGGTATGGTTGCAATATGCCTGCCTGCAGCTGAATGGGTTTGACGAGGTAGTCTTTGGCGCCCCGGTCGATGCACATGGAAATGATCGACACCTCCTCGTTGGCACTCATCATCACCACCGGCACGTCAGCCAACCGGTGGTCCTCCTTCAAATGAGTCAGCAACTCTATACCATCCTGCCACCAGCCAAACAACACGACCAGCCAGCCCCACACAGACACACACACAATAAGACAGTCAATGTGAGAATATGTCGGTCGGTGTGCCTGCCTGTCTGTCTGTCTGTCTGTTAACTCCCCGCCCCCCCTCTGACCATTTCAGGCATGACAATGTCACACAGCACGAGATCGATGAAGTCCTCGTCGCCCCGCGCCTCGGCCTCCTCCGCCATGCGGGTCATCCCATCCAGTGCCAGCGCACCATTGTCAAACGCACTCACTGCACACCACACACCGAAAGAACGAAACACAGCAAAAGACAGACAGACAGTGTGGTTGGTCCTTCTTCCACGTGTCTGTCGTCTGTCGTGTTGTGTGTTGGGGTGAGGGGCACGAACCCTTGTATCCACAGAGTGTGAGGATGTCGATGAGTGCCAGCCGCTGGAAGGCGTTGTCCTCCACCAACACGATGTGCCGCGTCTGGCTCACTATCGACATGATGACTCCTCACCGCCGAACAAACACTCAAATGGATGGCCCAGCAAAGAGGAAGAGCACACGGACGGCTGTGAGTGAGTGAGGCCCCTCTGCCGACTCAAAAATCCCTGCTCTGCTGTAGAGGGAGGCCTCTGCGCCTTCAGCTTATTTATTGATGGTTGTTTCTGCCTTGCCTGTTTCTGTCGTTCGAAGGCGGGGGCTCGGGCTGCGTGGGAGCCCTTCCGACGACTTGTCCAGTGCTGTTCTCGTGTTTCTTTTCCCCTTCCCCTTTCCTGCGAGCCAAGCTCGCAGCCCGGCTTCCGTGAAACCACACAGGGGAGGTAGTGAAGCCGGATGAAGGCAAGATGAGCAGCCTTCTCCCCAGCAGAGGCGTGTGTATCAGCACTTGACGCGAGGTGAGGCCGGCCATGGATGACGAGGCGTCCCGTAAGCCAAAGAAGACCAGGAGAGGAGGCAAGTCAAAGAGGAAAAAGGACGACGGAACACCAGCACCCACAGATCCACCGCCAGCGCCACCACCGCCCGAAGACGAGGCAACAGATGCCGTCCAACCGCCCTCATCTTCGTCGGCAGATCTGCCTGGGCCTGCGCCGGCTGCAGCAGCAGAAGCTGCAACTGCAGCAGCTGCAACTGTAGGGGGTGGAGCGGTGCTGCAGGCTGAGGAAGCGCCTGGTCACGGTCATGCGGATGTGGCAGTGACCGGCGAGGACACTGGGGATGTGGTCGAGTGCGCGTGGAAGGACATCACCCAAGTGGTCAGGCAGGCGCCCAAAGGTCAGTCCGTCAGTGAGCCACCCACTCAGTCAGTCAGTCAGTCAGTCAGTCAAATTGACGGGGCGGGGGAGTGCTCACTCTCACTCCCTCTGCATGGACTGGCTGTGCCTGTGTGTGCTGATTGCATATACGCCATCCACCGATGCATCTGTCCATCCATATGTCCATCAGAGATGCCGCTAGGCCACTACGTGGCGAGCAACCGTTTCTCGCTGGAGCACGGCCTCAACTGCATCGAGATGATGGACCCCAAGATGGACAGCGGCATCCACCCGCAGCGCAGGCTCACTGTCGACAAGTGCCGGCGCAAGAGGCTCGTCCCCACGACCCTCTCCGGCCGCATGCTGCAGAAGATCACCAACCAGCTGCTGGTCGTCTGGGAGCTCGTCCTGCAGGGCTACGCCCCCTCCTACACCCTCATGACCTTCCTCTTCTACCACGACACCACCCTCCTCCGACCATTCCCACTCCTCCAGGCCTTCAGCAAGGGCGTCTTGATCGCCTGCAGCGCAGCACTGAGGCTCACTTGCAAGTCAGACGTCATGGACGACGAGGAGGCCTTCGCCAGCCTGGAGCACTTCTCGCCCCAGCCCCCACCCACCCCGCCGGTCGCAGAGACCCTGCGGGAGCTGGAGAGCGCCCGGGGGCAGCTGAGCGACGCGCAGAAGCGGCTCGAGGCCGAGGGCAAGGTCGGTGAGCTCGACTACATGATGGGCGAGAACGACAACCGCACCCTCGACACGTCCGACCTGCCGGGCGGCGAGACGGAGGCCCTGGAGACGGCCAGGGAGGCCAAGTCGCTCCTGGCGCGCTTCACCTTTCTGCTGCACTACCTGAGGGGGCTGGAGGCCTTCGAGAAGCTTGCGAGCTCCGCCCCGAGCACATCCGCAGCCACATCCAGCCCCACCGCCCCGCCCTCGTCAGTGGTCAAGCAGCTGGATCAGGTGTGTGTGAGCATGCGCAAGGCCAAGGAGGCCTTTCACGATGGCTACAAGGTCATGTACTCGGCCCCCCCGCCGTCGCCCATCTTCGACATGGAGCTCATCCGACACGAGATGACGCTGGGGGCGCCCCGGTACCCCCCGCCGATGGATGTCCTCGAGGCCGTCAAGAGCTTTCAGCTGCACCTGGCCGACATCCTGTTCGCCCTCGAGTCGGCACCAAGGGCCTACAGGCAGTCGTATGCCGACCTCTTCGCCTACCAGCGGGAGCTCCTCTCACGCCCCTCGAGCGACTCGGAGGCCCTCCCCCGGGTCATGTCCAAGCTCCTCATCGAGACCCTCCTCGACTCGGCCACACGTGAGGAGCGGTCGGCGGGCGAGCCGAGCGGCGGGTGGTCCACCCCCTCCACACACACATCCACGACGCCTTCATCGTCGTCTCAGCGGATGGCCAACGGGACGGACAAGGGCAGCGGGTCGCTTCCCAACCTCCCCAGCACACGGGGGCTGATTGTCAAGCTCCTCGTCGACGCAATGGTGCCCAGCGAGGCTCTCGTCGAGCCGGAGGATGACGGCGACCACCATCAGCAGCAGCAGCAGCAGGAGACCGAGGGCGCCTCCACGCCAGCCAGCGGCAACGGCAGCGTTGTGAGCGGGCCGAGGGACAGGAGGGGCAATGGCAAGAAGAAGAAGGGCAGCCAGCTGCCGTCGCTGTCGCCAGCGTCCAAGAAGGCTGACAAGGGCGGCGGCAAGAAGGCCGGGAGCGGCAATGCGGCTGGGGGGGCGGACGAGCTGGAGCTGGAGATGAGCGAAAACGACCAGACGATGCAGAGGTGTCGGCACGTGTGCAAGCGGTTCATCGACGCCGCGGCACTGCTCCTCAGGTCACTCATCAAGGTACGGACGTACGTACGGGTTGAGCAGATGGATGGAATATATAGATGGCTGCAGTCACTGCAGTCAGGCCGGCCAGTGTAGTGTATTGATTGCGTGTGTCGTGTCTTATTCTATGCACGTATCGCATGCATCAGTTGGCCCACCAGCACAAGAGTCGGATCTACCGGAAGTTCACGCACATCTTCGCTGAGGTGGAGACGCTGCTGCCCCTCGCAGAGCAGGTCGACAAACAACTCGCGGACACATTCGGCGGAAACCTCGCCATCAGGTGGGGAAAACGACTTCCCCCCCCTCGCCACCCAACCCACCGTAGCGCGCGCTCACGTGTGTGTGTGTGTGTGTGTGTGATGATGATGATGTGTGCAGGGGTCCGTGTGTGCGATGGCTGCAGGAGTTGTCCCTTCAGTTCCTGGGCGAGCGGCTGGCGCTGGGCTTCGAGCTGCAGCTCTACGACGACGAGGAGAACTGGATGATCTACTGGTACGCACGATCCAACAATAACGACCCTCTCCGTCTCTTTGTCTGTCCATCGACACGTCCCCCTGTCTGTCTGTGTGTGCGTCGTGTGGTGCCCCAGGGTCCTGTCACGTGTGCACGAGTGCCGTGCAGCGATCCTCAGCGAGCGACAGGTGGGTAGGTACCTAAGCCACAAAAACACACACAGCCACACCATGCAGTGCAGGCAATCAAGTCCCTGTCTGCCTGTGTGTTTGTTAATCAGCTGGCGTCTGAGGAGCCCCAGGGGTCGAGCACCATCGGCGGTGCCAACAGGCGGAAGGGCGGCGGCAGACTCGCCCTGGCGGGTCGGGCGGGGGAGGCACGTGACCGCCGAGGAGGTCCGAGTGAGCGGCCAGAGCCGCCCGCCGTGGCACCTGGTGTGGAGAAGACGCGCAAGCCAGCGCCGCGCCACCCGTCGTCGCAGCTCCTGTATGTCCGCGTGCAGCAGCTCGTTTCCGAGGGGCTCTGGAGGTGCGCAGGCAGACAGATTGGGGCATCGATGGATGGATGGATGGATGTGGGTCATGTCATGCGTCTTGTGTGTGTGTCAGGTTGTTGTGTCACACCAATTTCGAGGCATCTCATCGGAATCAGCTCAACCGCGAGTACTTCCTCGAGGTCGAAAGAAAGTGGTTCGTCAGGTCAGCCAGCAAGAAACAGACAGACAGACAGGCAGACAGACAGATGGACGGATGGATGGATGGATTGCCATCATACTGAACGCCTCGTGGTGTGTGTGGTTGGGTGGTGGTTGCAGGCTTGCGAATGCGTTGCAGCACGTGGAAATGGGCAAGATATGTTCGTCTCTCGGCCTGGAGCACTCCTTCTCCTTTAGGGAGTTCCACGACCAAAGCGTCCGCAGCGTCTGGCACGTGAGACACACACACACGCACCTACACGCTATGTTCTCTCTGTGTCCCCCCCTGCTGTGCACATCTCGGGGTGCTGTGTTGGTGTCTGTGTCTGTATCCTCCTTAGCATGAAAAGACGCTGCAGCGTGCGTGCGAGGCGCTGACTGAGGGTCAACAGCTCAACGACAAGCTGCTGAAGAGGAAGAAGGACGGCACCGAAGTGCTGCACCCCGAGATACAGGTGGGTGGGGGAGCTACAGACTGCACTGCACTGCACCTGAGGCCCGTCATTGGGGGGAGGGGAGTGTATGGCTGTGGGTGTGGGTCGATACGTAGGCTGATTTGCTGGAAGAGATGAAGGCCCCGATGGAAGCCAACCTCAAGGCAGCCAAGCAGTGAGTAACCACACACACACGGGCAGGGCACACACCTGACCTGTCCACTCATCCTACACTCACTCATGGTGTGTGTGTGTTTGTGTGTGTGTGTGTGTGTGTGTGTGTGTGCAGGTGCAGCTATGCGATGGCGATGAATCGGTTCATCAGCGTGGCCCACAAGCGCGCCTTCCTGCCCTACGTCCTGCTCACCGAGATCGAAATCACACAACACACCAGACAGCCGTACGCCACACACCACGTACCACAACCCTACGCTGCGCAGCGCAATACGATCCGACATGCGACCCATCCTGTCGGTCTGTCGCATGGCATGCACGTGTGCGCTGCGCTGTGTGCTGTGCAGTCCACCCCACCACCCGATGCCAACGCATTCGCCGCACCCCATCCCCCGCCCCTCCCCGCCGCCATTCCCCCCCGCTCCCGCTGGCGGGACTAGGCACATAGACTCAGACGGACACAACACATGACCCACTCAGTAGCACTCGTGTGCGTCATCTGGTGAGGATGGTGGGTTGATGGAGTGACTGGGTGGGTGGGATGGCTGAGTGAATGAGTCATTGTGTAGCTTTCGAGAGCGCACGTGCACGCTTGATGCGTGCAGTGAGTGCCTTCGTGGTAGAGTCAGCTGACGTTGACCTTCCCGTGTGAGATGGATGGATGGACGGACGGATGATACACACCACACCACACCCTTTCTTTGTGTGTGTTTTAATGCGTAATGACGGCCTGCCTTGTCTCGTCTGTCTCCACTCTCACACAAGAAGTGAGTGTCACGTCACGTGCAGGAGTCGAGTCTAAGAGCTACCCTCGTGAATGCATTTGCAATGCCGAGCCCCATTCACCGGCCACCACCTACGGTAGGCACACATTTCTCTCTGAATGGGAAAATCCCCATGGACGCCAGTGTGTCCGTCCATCCATCCATCCATCGACTGCACACCACACCCGACCACCCATTCATTCACTTCTTCTCTCCCCCCTTCTCTCCCCACCGCTGTCGTCGCCGCCTTCTCCGTCAGATTGTTGCTGGTCTGCATCCGCTGCAGGCCTTGGCGTCGTCGACTCCTGCTGCTGCTCTTTTTGTTGCTGCTGGGTAGGGGTAGGGGTTGGGGGCTCGTCCAGCACATCGACATCAGGCTGCTGCCACGACAGCGTCCACGGCCGGCCCTCCTGTTTCTGCAGATCCTCCAAGATGCTCAGCGTCAGGAAGATAATCCTCATCTGCACCCCAACACACACAGGTGGGTGACAGACAGAGTGTCTCCCTGAATGGAATCAAGTACCCCTCCTTCCTCTGGGGGTTTTGTGTGTGGTGGAACGTACCGATTGCTGAAGCATGGCCTGCTCGATTGGCGTCCGAACCTTGTCGCTTCCCGTGCGCGAGATCATTTCCTCCTGAGGTGGCAGACAGCAGATCGAGATCCTCCTGCCCGCTCAGCCCGTGCGCTCACCAGCTTGAGCCGCCTGAGGTCGAATCCCCTCCTGTGGGCCTCCACGACGTTTGCCACGAAGGGGCTGAACTTCTCCTCAAACGAAATCGAGAGCTGACTCGGCGACTCGCGCAGCTGCGGCCATCTGAGAGAACACACAGCAGACCCCAAGCACTAGGAGATGCTGCCCGTGTGCCGGCGGTGTGCGTGAGGTCTGTGTGTTCATTGCATACCCGACGGTTTGCAAGGTCAGGAAGATCAGCGACATCCATATCGTCCTCAGCTCGGCCTCATCTGGCTGGCACAAACCATGGCAAAGAAAGGCAAACAAACGGTCGTGTACACGCGTCAAGCTGGCTGGCACGTCAGTCACCCATGTCACCTCACCCACCATCAGCGGCCTGCACACAGCGACAGACAAAAAACAGCAGACCAGATTAGCTATCGGATGCTCACTCAGTCGGGCACTCATTCACTCACTCACTGACCGTTCGATGGATGGCTTGTCGACAGTGGAGACCTCCAAAAGCAGCGCCGGCATGTTGAACCCCTTCTCGTACGCCGTTATCACGGGTCGGATGAACTGACGCAGCGTCTCCTGGTAGTCCTGCACACACACAGAGATCAGCACCCACAGATCACATCATTAAGTGGGATCAGGCCACCGGATGACATGACCGACTGACCAGATCAGTCCTGCTGCAGGCAGCGATGAAGGCCTTCTCAATCGCCTCCGCCACCTCGTGAGTCCCCCCTCCGCTCTGCGGCAGCAGTGACATCCTCATGGGCCACCTGATGTGGTGGTGATGGAGCGCACCGCGATAGCTGGAACACAGGTGATGCGGCCTTGATGGGGAGATGAAGGCGGCCGCGGTTGTGGTTGTAAGAGCAAGGCAGGCAATACAGACCAGCCTCCTCTTCATCCACCCCCGTACGCTTGCCGCTCCAGCTCCTCGCCTCAATGCATCATGCTCGCGCTCAACCGCAAGATCTGCCTCGGCATCCCTTCCCAAGTCATCTGGTTGGGCCTGCATCTCTCGTTTGCGACCTGGCATGATCTCCGGCCGTTGTCCGCTGGTTGACCTGGTCTCACCCATCAGAGTAAGCTTCGGGGAACGCAGACGTCTTGGCACTCTCTTTTTGAGACTGCGAGCTCCATTAGAGTGGGGGCGGTCTCAACGAAGCTTGTCTCAACGAAGCCTCTCCCCCGCTTCTTCCGATTCGACGATGCTTTTTTTGCTGGGCCTCGTGTTTCTTCCCAGTTTGGTGTCTTCCGGCTTCCTTCCTGTGTCCACCAACAATAGCAATGCCATCGGGAAGCCCCGCGGTGTGACGGCACCCGTTCCTGACCTCCTGGTAGGCTGCCACAGCCCCTTCCACGCGCTGCCCTTCCCCGTTCCCTTGAACTACAAGCAGACCAAGGCAGAGAAACAAGCATGGCTCCACGAGTATGTTAAGCGATGATCAATGATGACGAGACACAATTGACGAAAGACTTCTGCATGCATGCATGACATTGTGTGCAGTTACGACCAGCATGTGGCATATGCTGACCTTCCATACCGCAACTTTAGCGCCCCTGAAGTGCCAACAACCTCTGCAGCGTTCCCCAAAGGAGTTTTCCCTCGAAAGCTCTGTGAGGCTCGCTCTCAAAAATATGCATGTCACAAAGTGCAAATCGACCATCGTGACGTCTTTTCTCTTGATCACCGTGCGTGTCTGCTTTGTCAAGATGGGTTCAACCCGGATGAGTTCCAGGTATTCTGGCAGACTCAAGAAGGGAACATTCTGGTGGACTCCGGCCGCTTGTGTGGGAAGAAAGATGGCGATTCCTGTATGCCCCGTAAGTGAGTTCGGGTTGTTGGCGTTTCCATGAAGATAAGCACGTCAGGTCATGAATTTCACATCCGTGTGTGCACAGACAAATGGCCGCGGGACGTGCTGGCCGGCCCCGTCCCGCACTACTGGCAGATGAACCTTTTGGACACGGAACAGATCCAAATCGGTAGGACGTCTTCGTCTTCGATGATTTCGTCTCAAGCGCTCCTCCGGCAAAAGTGTGTAAATGCTTTGTCTCCTGTCTGTATGCCCACAGCTCTCAATAATTTAGACCTGCCGCTCAATCACTTCACCGGAATTTGGTTCCACAACTGTCATCGAGTGAGACACCACACAGTGTGGGCTCCTTTTCTCGCAACACCGCTGTGCCATCTCCGAATGTGTCTCTCTTCCTATCTTGTAGGACATGTTTTTCGAGGAAGCCATGCAGTTGGCCCCGGATGAAGCCAACCCTGGCAGGTATCTTCCGTATCGGGCCCCCAATCAGATCATGTGGATGGTGACCGCGTCCCTCCTGGCACATACGGAAGACGCCTATATGATCAACACCATCTTCCCCGCCCTCTTCTGGCAAGGAGAGCCGTGCGAGTGCGCATTCGCCAACCAGTACTGCGCCTTTCATTCGGCGTTTGGACGAGAGATGTGCTGGCCATCGCACAGCGTGGCTCTTAACTTCGACATGAGCATGTCGGTCCTTGAGGGCCTCGGATGGCGCATCGCCGGCGGAGTGGACGTGGGGGACTATATCTCAGGAAAGGAAATATTCCAAAAATTTGCAACGATTTTCCAGCGTATTTAAATCAACAGACACCGACAAAGAGCGATGGGGGCAGGGAGAGAGGGGGAGAGAGAGAGAGAGAGAGAGAGAGGGAGAGGGAGAGAGAGTGCTCGACGTCAAGACAGAATCGATACGAGTGAGGAAATCGATAGAACGAGCGGTCGGGAGGATAAATGACGGGGGGCCGGCGGAAGTGACGCGACTTGTGTCTGCAAACATTGACAGTCTGAGGTGGATACACAGACACGTACACCGAGCAAACCTTCATACGTCCAAGCCTTCTCACACATCGAAGAAAAAGACGGCTACATGTGTGATCCGTGCCGTTCGACGCACCAGCAGAGCATGAGTGACGTATTGAAGTACACACAGCACAGACAGATGGAAGCCATTCGTCGCGCGGACGGAATCTTGCACACACGCAGTCTCACGCACCCAATCGAGATGCACACGCAATTGGCACCATGCCGAGATGCACACGCACCCAACGTTCATCGACTGTTCGTTGCACATGCACCCGACCGATCGTTCGTTGCACACGCACCCAACCGACCTTTCGTCATTGCAGATCTGCCCATCTTGTGGCTGTTGGCTGCTTCCAGTGGCTAATCTGTCTGCAACTGCAGATATGTCGGTAGATGGAGGTGCGCGTTTTCCTGCGCCACGTATGTTATGGCCGCCGCGTGAACTCTACCTACTCTGCAGTGGACTCTGAGCGGATGGTACTCTTGGTTCATGTCCAAATGCATGTGTCTCCTTTCTCATGCAGCCGTCCACCGATCCAGTCATCCATTCAGACAGACAGACAGACAGACAGACAGATATGCACAGGACACGCGCAGTCGCGACAGCAGCTGGTGCTTAAAGGAAAAGGCAGCGTGTAATGCAACGAGGAACGGCTGCTTTGATTTCCCACAAACAGGTCAAGCACTCACTTAGTCGCATTTTCCTCTGAAGGATCCCTGTCCGGTTGCTTTTATGATGTCCTTGTTGTTCCTCACTTGTTGTTCTGCCATGCAGCCCTTCGCGGGCGGTTCAGAAGCCATAGTAGAGGCAGAAGTCCGGCATGGTCAGCTGGCTCGCTACCACTCTGTGACATGCAACCACATTATTATGTGGATGCACACTGTATTATTATTTACTCATGGCATCCATCCATCCATCCATCCATCCCGACTGCCCCTCTACCTGAGTTTTTCGGTGAAGTCATTGAGCTTAATTTCGACCTTGGTTTGGCCGTTGTACATGCCCTGCACAACAAGAGGAAGAAGAAGAGGAGAGGGTTGAAATTGAAGTTCCCCCCATCTATTCATGAATTGGCATGGTATTTTGCGTGACGGCTGCAGGGAGAGACGTACCTTGACGATGTACCCGCCGCTTTTGGCCCACAGCTCGAAGAGAATCGATGACGCGAAGGGAGGCTAAGGATGGGACACGCCACTCAGGCAAAGCCTGGTCTGTCTGTCTGTCTGTCTGTCCATGTGTGTGTCTCTGGTGTGTCTCCCTTTGACTTACCTCTACACCGTCCCACCAGCCAAGCATCCGGAGGTAGCCAGACTGCATGAGAGCAAACAGACGAACCCATGGGACCCAACCTCAGCTGGCCGCCTGCCGCGCACCAGGTTCATGTCGTGGCTGCTGAGCAGGATGAGCTTGAGCGTCTCAAAGATGCCGGCGGCCTCGCGAAGGCCGGTATGCTGATTGGTCCAACACACACGCCGCACATGCATGCACACGTAAGAGCTCGTGTCTCTTCGGCAGCTGGACTACATACCTCAGCGGCGACAGCCTGCTTCCCTTGGCGGAGAGCGGCCTGGTACATGGCAGCGTCCTTGGTGTGGGTGGCGTAATGCATCCCTGCTTTGGCCTCCAGCACGGTCGCCATCGTATTGAATAGCAGCGAAGACGCCACCGTGGCAATCTTGGGGTCCGCGAAAATCTGCATATATTCACCAATGGCTTTTTGCTTGTTGATTCATCCACATGTATGTGACTTGCCATCGAGAATGCGTCATCGTTGGCGTGAAGGATCCGCCTACACGGAAGACCGAAGCTTTCTAATCTCTTGTCTCTCTTATCCTCTTCACTTGAGGGTTTCGCGGTCTGTGGTGAAGAGGCCCCGTCCGTCGGCGATCCCGGCCATCACACCATCGCCCACCAAACTCAGTACACTGCACACACACAGAGACACACAGAGAGAGGGAGAGAGAGGGCGACGGCGGTTTGGGAAGATATACACGGCCTTGAGTCTGCCCTGCAGCCGTGAATGTTTCCATCGAGCCTCATACCGATAGCAGTCTTCGCCTGGTTTGAGTGTTCGCTCGAGCTGCTTCATGACCTTGCTGCAAATCCTCGCGTACATCTCGCTTAGGGCTGGCCAGGACTTGCCGTGGAGGTAGTCCGGTTGCTTGAGGCTGTAGAGGATCTCCGGTTTGAACATGATATCATGCTCGCGCTTCTCCCTGTTGTTGTGGAATGGCACCGAGGGGTGGACTTGCGGCCACAAAGTCTCGCGGAAGGTGTCGCAGGCGCGCTTGTTCTCACCTTATAGCCACACAAAGGGAGGGAGGAGAATGCATTCTCTCTCGAGGGCTGGCTGGCTTCGACCTTCTCACCCTGCAGAATCCAATCCTGCCCGCGGTCGATGGTGTGGACGGGAATGTGATAATGGCCAGCGGGAGCCGGATCTTGCAGCAGGTCATCCAGCAGGAGCTGCCTATTCGAGGAGTCGTCAAGGATCCTCTGCAGCATGTTCGGTGTCTCTCGCTCGTGCACGTCGCGCCAGCCGGTCAGCTCGTACACTTGCTCAGCATAGGCCGGGGATTTCTTCGTGTGCTTGTAGAATGCTTCCACCATCAGCCTCTAGCGCTCCTTCAGATTGATTGAGCATTCGTTGCCCCCGGTGTGTGGGTAGATGCCCTGCACGTGGCAGTCGGCACTCTTGATCGTGCGGGGGACATCTGTGGAACGGACGAAGATCTCTCCCTACAACGATGCACATCAACGGAGAGAAGGTTCCCAACTGATGACCTGACAGCACGTACCGGGGTGTATTCTGCACTGATCAGCTTGTGTTGGTCCACAAAGCGCACGCGCAGAATGCGCCCCAGCAAGGTGTGCTGAGCAATTGCAGCACACGCACCCAGTCAGAGCATTTGGCTGGCGAGAGTGCTTCCCGCGAGTCGCTACTACCTGGAGCCTCCCAAGGTTGGTAAGAATCCCGACGCGGCCCTCGTCGCCTCCCTCCCAAGTCGGAAGCTTGTTTTCGGGCAACTCCCCCTACATTGTGTGCATCAGCCACACACAGATGCACGTCGACTTGATCCCATTGCTCCAGCATCCGCACCCAGCGTACGTACGTCAAAGAAGACCTCAGGACTGCGGCTGCCATGGCTGTCGAATGACATACATACATAATTAAAGGGCCTTGACGTGTCTCTCCGCTTTCGTTTGGACACCCGCGTACCGGAAGACCTCCAAAGCAAAGAGCAGTTGCTCACCTGCGTGTATGCAGACAAGGACTTGATGTTCAATTATCACGCGGCAGTGACATCCAGAGAGAGAGAGAGAGAGAGACGGGGGGGCTCGGTTCGTACCGTGCTGGCCGGACAATGATGCAACATCCGAGGTGTCATTCAGCGCCTCCAGGGCCGCATGGCCGCGGTCGGCGTGCCTCTTTCCGTTCTCCCAAGCGTGCTCCTCATAGGCAGTGCAAGTCACTGCAGCATAGCATTGCAGTTAATCGTTGCATGGTGCTGCCTGTGTGCGTTGCATGCAGTCTCACCGCCAAAGATGACAAGCAAGAGAAGAAGGCTTCCCATCGGCGACAATCCCAAGACAACGCCAAGCTCTCGCTGTCGGGTCAAGGGTTTCGGGTCAAGGGTTTGGATTTGCGAGCTTGAATGAGGAGATGACGAAACCAGATCCCGCCAGATCTGATGGACGAGGATAACGACGTTGACAAGGAGTCGTGCCGTCACGACGTTGTGGTGTTTGGCATGTGTGCCGCCTGCGGGAGCCGTATGGCGCCCCTCTCGCCAAAGAAATCGGCCACATCAGCCAAGGAGATGGCCACACACAGCCAGGCCATGGCTGCCGAGCCGTCCGGCGCCTCCTCTGCTACGGGCGATGGGAAGGCTCACGTGGCTGCGGGGTTTGTGTCGTCCAAGAAGGCGCTCAAGGTCTCCAACCATGTGCGTGTGTAGGCGGGACAGAGGCCTGCAGGGAGCACACGCACCAAGCAAGAGCGAGAAAGACTGTGAGGAAGGAGGTCATACCAAGCGTTGATCGCTTGTGTGTGTCTGTCGTGGTTGTGTTCCGTCTGTTTGTCAGGTGGCATTGCGTCTTGAGCGAGAGCGCCTGTTCGAGCTGCTGACAGAGAAGCGCCTCTGCATGGTCAGCCAGGCAGCCACTCAGTCACTGTGACTCGGTTTGATGGCCTGTTCGTTCGTTGATGTGTGCAGGTGTTGGATCTGGACAACACGCTGGTGCACTGTGTGGGGTGCAGCATCCCCACACCCGTCCTCACCTTCCCATCTAAGACGGCAAGGGACCGGCACCTACACAAGCTCAGACAACAGATGGCCTCAACCGCCACCCAGCCGACGGCCAGTGGGTCGGCGGAGGGGAGGGTGAGAGTGGGGAGTGTGGATGAGCGGCTTGAGGCCGTCATGGAGTCGGCCATACACATGATACGCACCGATGCCCCGCCGGGTACGTTACGTACGCAGGGGAGGAAGCGCCGCGCCGTGTACGGGACGGGCTCATTTCCCTCATGGCTTTTCTCTTTCTGTGCGTCTCTCTGGTGTGTGCTGTGCAGGATATCCCGACTCCGCGGGCATTCCGTTGTATCTGAAGCTGCGTCCCGGTCTGCATCGGTTCCTGCAGGAGGCGTCCCTCCTGTTCGAGCTGTACCTCTTCACGCAGGGCACGGCAGACTACGCCGCTAAGGCAAGCCAACAGCAAGCCGCCAAACGAACCACACCACACCACACCACACCACAGTGTGTTCCATCACGCGGACACATGCTGGCTGCAGGCGCTGGACATATTCGACCCGGATCGGCGTCTGTTTGGCCAGCGAGTCTTCACCAGGTGATTGATTGATGGACCTACACCGACCCATGCGTCGGTCTGATCTGACCGACCCACATTGACTGACTGACAATGGGTTACCCTACCCGTATGTATGTGTATGTGTGGGTGTCAGGGACCACACGAGTGCATTGGGTGGCAAGTCGATCGACCGCATCTTCCCTTACACCAAGAAGACGGTGGTGGTCGTCGACGACAGGGAGGACGTCTGGCCAAAGCGCACTCCCATCATACGGGTGGGTTGGGTGGGTGGGTGTGGTGTGGTGTGGTGTGTTGTGGTGTGGTGTCCTGTCTGCATCTCCCTCTCTCTTATTGGTCAGGTGTTTCCGTATCTCGTGCTCATGCCGCTCATCAATGGAAGTAAGTACGTATGCATAAGTGACAGACACCTATCGATAGATCGACACACAGACAGACATGATCACCTGGGTGACACATACATATATTCTCCACCCCATCCGTCAGACCGTACGTCGCTACCCGTGATCGCTCCCCCCTCACCGTCCCTCGCACCGCCCCCCACCCCTACCGATGAGGCACCATCAGCCAAGCGCTCCCGTGGCCGCGACGACACCAATGGCGTCTCACAGCCAACAACACCACCACCACAACCAGCAGTTGCTGCCGTTCCCTCGACCCCGCCCCCAGGCGTCCCTCTCACCAATGGCGTGGTGGATGCGGCCAATGATCATCCACCCCCGGCCAAGAAAGCGCGACGTGAGGAGGAGGGGGGAGGTGGGGGTAGCGAGGCTGGCCCGGCTGCCGCTTCGGCTGGTGCCGCTGCTAGTGGTGGTGGTGATGATGTGTATGATGAGAGGGACGTATGGCAGGGGCCTTCGCTTGAGGATGTGGACCACCAGCTGCCGGCGCTAATGCACATTCTCCGCACCGTCCACGACATCTTCTTCAGGCTGGTCAGCTCAGCCAGACGGCTGTGTGAGTGTCTGTCTATGTGGGCGTTGATGTGCGTCTGGCGTGGCGTGTCAGATCGAGCGTGGCGGAGGTTTTGCGTCTCTGCACGGCGAGTCGGCGGAGACCCTCGACATCGGTGCCATCCCAGACCTGGAGGAGATAGTCAAAGAGCAAAAGGCACTCACACTCAACGGTCCGTGGGCAACGGAGGGAACTTGATGGATGGATGGATGGACGGATGGGTTCATGCATAATTAATGTTGGGCTGTGTCTCATTGATTCGTTGTGTTGTTCAGGTGTGGTGATGACGACCACGGGCATGACCAACGCCTCACAGCCGGTTTTCCAGACCACTGTGCTCGGAAGGTGAGACCGCACGGAGGCCCAATTTGGGGTTGTGGATGGATGGAGCCTCTGCATGTAGAGACCTGTCTATGCCTATGTATGTGTGTGTGGTGGTCAGGCTGGCCGACCAGGCGGGGGCACAAGTGGAGGTGGGCAACCAAGGGGAGCTAGCTGTGCATCCAGCATCTTATCTTGTGCTATCTATGTGAAAACAAAACTTCAGGATCACCTGTCGCCACGCACCACACACCTGGTGGCCGCTCGGAGAAGTAAGACCCGCTCACACACACACACACACACACAGGGATAGAGAGAGAGAGAGGGGGAGGTACGAAGGGTCCTATCCACACACACCGCTCTCCTTGTCTGTGTGGTCAGACACGAGGAAGTACTACGATTCTCAGCGGGAGAAATCGCACCACATCGTGAGTCTAGTCTCCATCCATCCAATCCATCCATCCCATTCGCACACGCCGTTTGTGTGAGAACCAACATCTCTTGTGTCTTTTTGTGCTGTCGGCTCACCCACTCACACAATCAGGTGCACGATTGGTGGCTCCAGCGGTGCCTCTACACATGGACGTACGCCAACAAACACACACACACACACACGCTCAGTACGGCATGCGCCCATTGCCGTGTTTCTGTCAGGCGTGTGTGCGAGCGGGCCTTCCCAGCCGACATCGGCCAGAAGTGCTTCAGCCAGCGCTACCCAGAACTGGCAAAGGCAGAGAAACAACAACAGCAGCAGCAGCATAGCAGCGCCCCCACCATCACCGTCACCATGCCCCCCACTGCCAGCAAGAAGCCAAGCGCCCCCGAGCCACCACAACCCCAGCCAGGAGTGAAGAAGGAGAAGGCAAAGGAGCCGAGCAAGACCCCCGGTCCGTCCAAGGGCACGGTCAAGGGTCGCAGCGACTTTGTGGTGCCGTCTGAGCTGACCCCCTACCTCAACGCATGGACTGTCGACCTGCCGGCGATGCCCTTGCCGTCCCTCGACATCGACGCGGCGTTCCCCAGGGCTGCGGGCGGGGAAGGGGAGCAGCAGCCCCAGGGGGGAGAGGGAGAGGGCGACATGCAGGACGAGAATGGCGAAAATGGAGACGATCTGGTAGGAGTGGGGAGAGGGGACGTACATTCGATGTCCGTACAGGGTGTGTGTGTGTGTGTGTGTGTGGCGTTGCTTGCGTCCACCCTCTGTCAGGTGGACATGTTGGAGGCCGAGCTATTCGAGGGATAGATCGATTGGTTGATAGGGAGGTCGCAGGCTAGTCTGAATTCGAAGACCGGGCGCGGCGCGGTGGTGTTGATGCGGCCGGCTGTAGGGATGGATGGATGGATCCACTCTCTGTAGACGGAAGGTCAGTCAGTCAGTCAGTCAATCACACACGAGACAGATCAGATCCACAGATCAGAGAAGCTGAGGACGGGACGATGGGGGCTGGGCTGACAGAAAGGCAGAAGGACAGGCACACGTGCTCTCCATGCGCCTTTGTATGTATGGGCCTGCCTGGCCTGCACCGTTTTTGTGTGACTTGAATGAGAATGACTTAGTCACTGAGTGCGTGTCGATGGCTTGTGGGTGCGGTTCGGGGCGGTGGACGCACCGACCGACCTGTGTGTTGATTGACTGACTCATGTCATGGGGGCCTTTTGGTATGTAGGTCGTACACACAACACAACATGCGATGCGATGGATGCGTTATCTTTGCATGTCCGTGTATGTGTTGTGTTGTGCTTGGTGCTGTTCGTCGCGCGCACGATGGACAGCGAGTCTTGTATACAGACAGCCCTGACGATTCGCCGTTGGAACAACGATTGATTCATGGTGGTGTCACAACAAAGGAAAGGACCATTGTCTGTCAGGGCATGGCCATGCAGTGAGGTGCCGCATGCATCGCGGACCCTGGATGCACACACGATCCGAAAAAGTACCACAGCCTCACTGCCTGCCTCGATTGGTGCAAACACAGCACCATAGCCTAGGTAGGCATCACGCAGGCATAGCGATCACCTTCTCCCAGCTGCACTGCTGCCGCTGGCAGCCGACTTGGCTCCCCCGCCTCCCCCCCGAGCAGCGGGTCTGTCAAGCGAGCCGGCGCCCTTCATGCCGGCCATCCGGTGCATGTCCTTGGCGCTCTGCTTGTCCTTCTGAGCCCACGCCGCCGTCCAGTCCGTCGTGTCGACGTCCGTGAGGTGCGTGTGCTTGGTGCGACCCGTGTGGCCCCATTGACCTAATGTGAAGTGCAGTGCACACACATCACGTCCGCACAATTACATGATAGAGCACATGGATGGATGGATGGATGGATGAGTGTGTGTGTGACGCCTGTCAGGACCTCTTCTCAGCTGCATGGGCTTGGGCAGCAGGTTCTTGTCGACAGTGTCGTCACTGCACACAGACGGACGGACGGACACAGACAGAACAAACAAACGGGGGTACACAACACACAGGGGCTTCCTTCTTTGTCTGTCTGTTGTGCTGTGTGTGTATGTTGTGCAGGCAGGTTGGCTTACGCGGTGGGCGCCTGGAAGTCCCTGAGGTAGAGCTCCTCTTCACCCTTCTGTGCCTTGTCCATGAAGAACGCACCCTATCAGACAGACACACAGACAGACAAGCCGGCATAGACAGAGAGGGAGGGAGGGTACGTGGCGTATGTGTGTGTGGTTGGTTGGTTGGTTACCCTACCTACCTTGTGGTAGTATTTCTGCATGAATGTGAATTTGTGTTTCTTCTCCTGTCGGGGTGCGAGTGCGTCGAGTCGCTTGTCGTCCTCCAGCCGCTCCTCCTCAGTCATGTTGCGCCGACGCTCCACCTCGGCCAACTGCACACGCATACAATACACCCAACACACACATGTAGTTATTGTGGCGTGTGTTGTGTTGTCGGTGACGTCACTCACGCACCTCTTTGGCCCTCTCTTCGCGCTCCTCCTTGTCCCGTTTGATGCGTCGCAGCTCTCGTATCCGCCACATCTCATACTGACACACAGAAAACAAACAGGCATGCACCGCACCCACACACCCGATAAGCACACACGGCGGTTGCCTGCGTATGTGTGTATAATGTGTATTAGCCACCTCACCTCCTCCTGTTCGTTGTCCTCATCGTTGTCGTCGGGCATCTCCTGCAGGCAGGAAAACCAGACAGACCAAACCACAGCAGCGAGCGCACGTGCATTGGCATACACCTGGGATTTGTTTGGCTGGCTGCGCGTCTGTGGCGTCCGTCGTGTTGGTTGGTAGGCAGGTACCTACCTGGTCCGAGAGTTCGTGTTCAGCCTTGGCTGATGCGGCCATCTCCTCCTCACGACGAATCTGCAGCCACACAGGCAGGCAGGCAGCCATGAACCTTGAGGTGGTGGTGGATAGATAGATCGTGAGATGCGTCCCGTGTCAATGTGTGTGGAGTGCTGGACGGACGCACTGACGTACCGTTTCGACGAGCATGTGCTTGCTCTCCCTCTGCCTGTCCACAAGCTGCACACACCCACACACACCAAGCACCACGCACCAAAAGCCGGCCGGTGAGCAATCAATGCAGCAATGAAGGGTTCTTCTCCCTCCGTCATTTGCTGGCTCCCTACCTTTTGTCTGTGCTCCTCCTCTCGCGCGATCTCCTCAGCCTGCATCAACACACCAAACACAAGAACCGCCACAGACAGACAGGCAGTCACATGACGCCAAACGCGCCAATGCCGGCGTAGGTACCTCAAGCAATTCTCTTTCTCTGACGGTTTCCCTTTTCTTCTTTGGGACGAAGACGGGTTTGTGTCTGGCGTTTAGCTGGCGCTCTGCCTCTGAGTCAGTCTCGTACTCGCTCTCCTCATCCTCCTCGTCATCGTCCTCAGCCTCCGCCGCCATCGCCTCCTCCTCCTCCTTGCGACGCTGACGGACGGACGGACGGATGCCATCCCACACAGACAGACAGACAGACAGGCATGGCGGTGGATGACATTTCTGCACAGGTACCTGCAGAGCGGCCTGTCTGATCCGCTCGCGCCGCATCTCTATCTCCTTGTCCTCGTCAATGGCCTCCCTGTCCTCATCCGCCTTACCCTCAGCCCCCGAACTGATGACGACCGCCTCGGCCTGCCTCTCACGCCTGCTGCTGGCGGCGGGGGCCTTGTCGAGGCTGATGGGCTCGTCGGCGGTGCTGAGCACGGCCGCCTCGCGGATCTGACGGTGACGGGCGAGGCGGTCTTGGGCGCCCGACCCGCCCTCCTCACGCTCAGCTGCACCACACAGACACAGAGAGCCGAGGTATCAGTATCAGAAAACGAGACATCGACAAATGGGTGTGTTGTGGTGCATGAAGGAGCAGGTGTGACCTTGTTTGGCGGCGAGGAGCCGCTGCAGTCTCCTGTCGGATGTGTCGGCGGGCTGGGGAGCAGCGGAGGGGACGTCGTCCTCATCCTCGTCGCCCTCGTCTTCGCCGCGACCCTCCGCCCACTTGGGCGCCTGACTCACATACACACACACACCGCACCATGCACCAGAGGCTCCCTCCTTGCGTGTATGTGTGTGGGTCTCTCTGCCTATCCATGTGCAGGCGAGGCACCTTGCCGGGGAAGTATCTGGCGACTCCTTTGGATGGATCATACTTTGGCTTGGCTGCTGACAGCGGGTCAGCGCCGCGGAACAGAATGCTGTGGGGATCTGCCGCACCTGTCAGATGACACAGACAATCAACACAGACAGACAACCATGTGCGCACAAAGTGAATCAACGACACACAGCGTGAGCGTGTTCCTCCTCGACATACTCATCGTGGATGCGTCGGTTTCCTCTTCCCTTTCCTTCTCCTCCCTCCCACGAGCTTCGCAATTTAAGCTCGCAGGGCGCGCGAGGACTCCGAGCGCAAAGAGGGCGACAGCCGAAGTGCCTGTAGAGTGAGCGTGTAGAAGCACTCGCGTGAGAGGCGGCGAGATCCATAGATACGACCGACGGCGGGACCCTCAGCGGCATGGCCGCCTCGTCCGCGGCAAATGCAGCTGCCGCAGCCGCCACACCACATGGCATGCGGCCTGCCAAGCGCGAGGAGGCCTTGCGGACAGCCGCCTACGCCAAGCAGCAGGTGCTGAGCAGCGATGCTCAGGCCCTCAAGACCCGCCTACAGGAGCGGTACGGCAAAGACAAAGATTCGCCCTTCCTTTACTCTCCGACGCTTGGCAAGGGAGCGGGTGGCGAGATCGACCCGCTGCGGCAGGCGGGGCTGTGGAAGAGTGTGCGGCATACGCTGTCCCAAGGGTCAGCAGCATATATCTAGACAGCCAGGACAGGCGTTATCGAGGTGGTTTGACTGTGGTGTTGTGTGTGTGTGTTGCAATGCATGCATTTGCTGTCAGGTGTGGTGCATGCTGGTGTGGAGGCGGTCGAGGTGTGTGATCACTTCCACCCGGTGCGCCTGGCCACACCGGCAGACGACAAGTGCTTCAGCCTCCGGTTTAGGGGAGAGAAGCCAATACCAAATACACACCAGGTGAGGTGCGTGCAGGGCGGTCTGTGTGCGGCACATGGATGGATGGATGGATGGATGTGTGTGTGCAGGTGCATGTAGTGTTGGGTGAGTACGTGGGTCTGGTGCAGCGGTCTGCCGACCCTGAGGGCGAGTCGGCCGCACCCTGCAGCCACGTCTTCCAGCTGCGCTTCGACCCAAAAGCCTTCACACGCGACGACGACAACCACGCCGACACAGACAGCACACACAACATGACAAACGGTACACACAACACAACACACACACCAGCCCGCCTGCCTCTCTGTACCTGTGAGTGGATGGCTGTGTCGGGCCATGTATGACCCATTGCTTGGCCAGGCTGTGGTGCTGTGGCAGCTGAGGAGCTGCCTGGGGACTGTGACTACGTGATAGACGCGACAATGCACCAGAATGAGATGACATGCGTCAACCACTATGCGGCGGTGGACGCAGTGGCGGGCCGAAACCTCAAAATCAACGCTCACTGGCACATGGTACGTATTCACTACTTGTGGGGTGGGTGGGTGGGTGGGGTGGGATGAGGAGTGAGTGCTGCCCAGATCGATGAGATGGATGCATGTGCTGTGCTGAGTGGTTGCGTGCAGGTGTACGAGGACGGGTGGCCGCATGTGATTCTCACGAGCATTCCCGGCATCGGCATCAAGGCGGGGGTGAGTCGCCACAGGCAGGCAGCAGCCCGACCTAGCACATCGTCGTTGACCCATCTGTGTGGGTGTGTGGTCGTCAGGATGAGATTGTGGCAGACTTCGGGTATCCCTGGTTTCGAAACGTGCGTGAGACGGCCATGAGAACACTCACGAGGGAGGTCATCCGCGCAAGGCTCGCCGCCAAAGGTAGGCAGCCACGGCACGATAGATATGGCATACATACACGAACGAACACGGGCACTTCATTCACCTGGTCTGTGCGTGCCGTGCAGGTGAGGAGATGCCTGCAGAGGGCAGCGAGCCGCAATATGGGTAAGTAAGCTGTACAGTCCATCCATCCATCCATCCATCCATGGTGTCGTACTCCCCGTCACTGATTCAGTTCCGTGGAGCCTTCCGAGCCCCTGTGCAGCATATGTCGCCAGGCCGACCCACCCGCACAACAACACGACCCGTCAGCAGGAGCCGCAGCAGATGGGTGTGAGGCGATTGTGTGTGACGGGTGTGACACGGCCTACCATCTGCAGTGTGTGCGCATCAAGCAACACGATACGAAACGTGCGGACGCACAGACAGACAGACAGACAGACGGGAGAGATGGAGAAGAGCGTGTGTGTGTGTGTGTGTGTGGCGTCTTTGTGTGTCAGGGGTGCTTGAGTGGTTCTGCGCCAACTGTGAGGACCTGGCCAGGTACCTTGATCAATGGATGGATGGATGGATGGATGCTGTCAGTACTGCCCACGGTTGGTTCATCCCTACTCTGCCGTGTCGTGCGCTTCAGGCGTGTGTCAGCCAGTGTGCAGGGGCGTGAGCCACCCACCACCGACAGCCAACTAGCCAAGCGCCCCCTGCGGCTGCACAAGACCATCAAACAAGCACACAAAATCTCCAATGTGAGCCCACCAACACGCCCAACTCCCACACAACCATCACCTCCATCTCCCTGATTCCCACAGGCAGCGGCCAAGTGCCCCTCTGGCCCCTCACCACCCCGGCACCAGCAGCAGCAGCAGCAGCAGGAGGGCGGCGTCTCATGGTCTCCGGCCATTCATGAGTGCGAGGCCCTGAGCGAGCTGAAGGCATGCAAGGAGTGCTACGAGAAGGAAGCCAACGCGGGGCTCCCCGCCTTACACATCAGCTGCAGGTGCGCACGGACAACAGACAGACACAGGAAGGATGGAAAGAAAGGCACCCTACTAGAATTTGTGGATTGGCGTGTGGGTGCGTGTGTGTCAGGGTGCACAAGAAGCATTTCGGTGCCGATTACGACGCCCCCGATGGGTTCCACCAGCCACTCGAGGCCGCACGAGACACCATCGCATGCCGTAAGCCAACCACACACAGCTACCCCGGCCAACGGACACTCACCAGCCCCTCCCTCCTTATGTGTGAATGCAGTGGAGCAGGCCTTGCGTGACGCCGAGCTTCGTGTCCTCGAAATCTGCAGCAAGCGTGATGCCCTCGCTGCGCAGCACAAGGCCGTGCAGCAGGAGCTCGCCGCGGCCAAGCGGGAGTGCTTGCGGCTCGACCAGGAGAACCGTGTGTGGGAGCGGAAGCACGCCGAGCTCGAACAGCGGCTCGGCAAGGGGGCTACGAGACGGAGGAAGCCTGACAGAGAAGGTAAGTGAGCGGATGGCCGGCCATTTGCTCCTCTCTCACTCACTGCCTCCATGCCATGTGTGTATGTGTGTGTGTGTGTGTGTCGGTCAGGCGTGTCGTTGGTAGCCCCTGATGCCACCCACTGGGTCATCCGAGGGGCGGGTGTGTGGGTGCCGCTCACGGGCATCCGGCTGGAGAAGACAAAGATCTCTCGCCAGTTCACCGATGGCTGGTGGCAGGTACCCGCACATGACGCATTCATTACAGACACTTCCTTCAGACACACACGAAAAGGGCAGGGCACATACATGTGCTTCCTGCCTATGTGTTCCTTCCGAGGGTACGGTGATGGACTACGAGTACGGTTCGTGGCGCATTCAGTATGACGATGGGGACGAAGAAGTGGTCAGCAGGTCAGTGACGCATGTGTTGACACAAACACCCCGTTACGTTACCCCCACACACGTCACGTCGATCGATGTGTCGTTTCTCTGCGAGCAGCGACGACCTGATGGACATCATCGTCGACGGCACAAGAGACCTACACTCATGTACCGTACCCCCCACATGCACCCAGACCAACCCACCCACGCACATGGGCGGATGTCATTTCTGGCTGTGACTGCGTGTGTATTCCCCCCGATGGATCGATCAGTGTTTAGCAGGATGGTCATCCCCCGTGGCGTGTGGTCCAACGCCCGCTGGACACATGCCCTCTCGCTCCTACGGAATGACCTCCGCCAGGGCCAGGGCGAGACAGGGCCCGCTGACGAGGGGTCCGCCGGCAGCGTCGCCCCACCACCCAGCAACAGCAACCGCAGCAACGGCAGCAATCCCGGTGGGCGGGCTGCCGGCCGCAACCGGCGCAAAAAGCCTGACAATGACGTTGCTGCAGGAGGCAAGGACGGCAAGCCCAAAGGACCAGCACAGCCGTCGGCAGCAAAGCCCTCCCGGCGCTCCCTCTCGCCCTCCGCCTCTCCATCTCCCCCTCCCGCCCCTGCTCCCGCCGTCAGCGAGATGATCAATGGCCACTCCTCACCTTCTGCGGCCCACGGAGGAGGCACAACGAGTCAAGTGGACATGACCGAGGCGGCCCTCAGTGCGCTCAAGCAGCTGGGCGGCGACGCCCTCGTCGAGGGCTCCCTCCACTGGCTGCCGATTACCCAGTGCTTCCAGGCCAAGGCCAAGACAGAGGCGTCCGGCGACGGTGTGCGGCACTTCGCCCCCAGCGGCGTGGCTGACGTCGAGAGCACATGCAGCCGCGCCCTGGCCTGGCTGCGGGGAGACAACGGGACCACTGCCACAGCGGCTCCCGCACCCGCCCCGACACAGAAGATGGCCCGCGACAAAGAGGCCGCGAGGATGCCGGGCATGCCAGCCGAGGTCAAATGGAGTCGGAAGCAGCAGGCTTATCGTGTGCCTTACATCGACAACGACACGCAGGCCCCAAGGCTGCGGGCCTTCACGCTGCAGCGATACGGCACGGTGCAGGAGGCATTCGCCAAGGCGGAAGCCTTCCATGCCAAACACATAGACCGCTATCGCGCATATGCCAGCCTAAGGGACAAGCCAGACGGCCAGGCTGTGGCGGCCAACGGGCAGCCGGCGGTCGACGGAGGCGAGAAGAACAAACAGGGCGGCGACGCTGTCATGAGTGAGACCTTCGATGCGATCATGTCGGGAGGTGATGGGGCACTTGCCGCCCAAAACGGCAACAACAAACGCAAGCGATCCGGTGTGTGAGAATACACACACAGGCAAACACACAAACATCGACGCATCAGCGCTGCCTGTGTGTGTCCTTCCCTTCCCCTCCCCTCACAGAGCGGTTGTCTGCCTCGCCATCGCGCCAGGCGCCCTTGAAGAAGGCAGCCGGGCGCCCCCCCTCCCCCTCGCCGTCCGATCCCCTTCCACAGTCCCGCAAAGATGGTCAAAACAATGGCCGCCGCTGACGGCAGCGACGAGCCGATGGAAGGAGGCTCAGCCAAGGGACGAGACAGCAAGAGTGATGACGGCCATGGTGCTGGTGGTGATGGTGGTGGGTGGAGGTGCCCGTCATGCACGTTTGTCAACCAGGAGCAGTCGCGTCTGTGTCAGTTGTGCAATGGGCTGCGCAAGAGGGGCGGGTGGATGTGCATGACCTGTGGGATGGCCAACGAGCCGGTGGTGGCCGTGTGCGAGCGGTGCGTCAGAGAGGCTGCGGATGCTGGATACCTACTACTGCAGGGAGGGAGGGAGGGAGTCGTGTAGTCTGTATTTGTGGCCATTTTGTGTTGACTTAAAATGTGTGTAAGCACGTGTGTAAGTATATGATTCCATTGTCAAATCATCAAAAGAGAAAACTCCTTCGCATGCAGCCTTGGGGGGAAGGAGGGGGCGTCTCCCTTCTGCGTCCAGGCGAGCTCGCCAGCGAAAGGGGAGTTCGTCGTGGAGGAAGATACACACATGGAGGAGGACGACAAGAACATTGTTCCTCCGCCATACTCGCCGGTTGCAGGTCAGCCAGGACTTTAGAGGGATTGCATCATTGTTCCGTTCTGCCTGCAGGTGACACTGTCAGGAGGAAGCCGGGCAAGAAGAAGAACAGGGAGGAGAAGAAAGGCGAGAGGCAGCAGAGGCCACCCTCGCGGCAGCGAGAGCAGCGCAGCAAGAGTCCGCAACCTGAGCTCCAACAGCAGAACGACAATGAGCGACGCAGGCAAGCGCTCCAGAAGACGAGAGGATGCTCAAGTCTGTCGTCTTGGTTGTTGCTTCTCCTCAGGAGCCAGCGGTACGTCAGCACCGAGCAGCCTGAACCAAACGTCCCAGCATCAACGTCATCTGGCAAGAAGGGCAAGGAGCAGGGCCAGACGGACCAGCCAAAGCCAGGTACCGTTCCCAGCGCCAAGAGCCGGTCTCGGTTCAGCGTCATCAAGCCAGAAGACTCCCCACCTCCACCGGCATTCGCCCATGGCGCCTCACCCGCCAGGAGCGGCCCTGAGGGTCAGCCTTCCACACGAGGCATGACATTGGGTGAGGAGACTGCCAAGTTGGCAGAGGAGAAGCGGCGACTCGAATACGAGATGAAGAAGCTGGCGTCTGAGAGGGAGTGTCTCGAGTTGGAACAGCAGGTCAGGAAGGAGAGGGAGGCCCTCGAGGCATTGAAGAAAGAGCGACCTGGCCACCAGCAGCAGCAGCATCAGCAGCAGCAAAGGAGCCAGCCGTCCGTCAAGGCCGCCAGCATCCCCTCTGTGCCGCCCCACCTGGCCGCCCAGCAACCGAGGCGCAACTCTGTCATCATGGCGGAGCACCCCTGGACCGACCCCTCACAGACGCAGGAAGGAGGGGAGACACCCATCCGGAGTGGCCGCAGAGACACGGAGGCCGATATGCCCGCCGTGCCAGCCCCGGGGCCACATACGACTGTGTACCCATTGACCGAGATATCTGTGTATACAATGGGCGGCCAGTGCTTCACCGTGTACGAGATCGGTGATGCCATCGACCAACAGCCGGAGGCCCTGGGGTGGTCTCGAGTGGCCGGCGACACGGCAACACTTGCGGGGTCGCCATTTAATGTCGTAGACGTGTCACAAGACAGGAGGACCTCGATGCGGCGAATCACACTGACGGCCGCGGGCATCCATGCCAGCGAGAAGCCACAGGGGAAGGGGGCTCCTTCGGAATGCGCCGTGGGCAAGTTTGAGGAAAATGCTCAGACTCCGGTGAGTGAGCTGCAGCAGGAGATGCAGCACCGTCAGGTGGCTGAAGTGTCGGGATGGGTCAAGAAGAAGGCTCGATATGGGCTCTGGAAGGACCGGTACATGCGTCTGCGGGATGGTGCGCTGCTCTACCACAGCGATGCCAAGAAGGACAGCACCCCCAATGGTGAGCAGACCGGAGAAAGGCTGTAAACCATAACATAGTTGAGTCTGTGTCTCTTCCTTATGCGTCGTCAGCGGTCTTTCCCTTCTGGTCACACATTGTCCGGGGCCAGGTGAGCACCCACCGCACGCATCCGTCCATGGCTGGGCGGCTGATGAGTTAGTCCGTCTTTCTGCATCTCACTAATCAGGCTCATCCAAAGGAGACGCAGCAATTCACGTGAGACACGAGCTACCCGGGAGAACATGTATATGTATGTGTACCCATAGATAATGATCTGTTTGCTCCCTCTTCTTGCCTCGGTTGCTTAGCGTGAGCTACGACGATCTCAATGGCGACGCGAGAGACCTGCACTTGTAACCAGATAAACCAGAGAGAGGGATTTAGCGGATGGATGTCCGTCCATCCATCCATCCATCTAGTTCCTCATGTCTGCTGCGTATTCAGTTCATCGCGTGATGCGTCGAGGAGTGGGCAGGGATGGGTGGATCTGATCAACAAATACACCATGCGAACCGCCATGCAAATCGCTCTGGTCGGTGAATGAAGACACATACATACAACCAGGGACGGGATTGAGGAACCGAGGGAGACACGAGACCATGCAGCCAGCCCCATGTGTGTGTTCTCAGTATCACTATGAGGACATTTTGGTGTCGTACAATGAGTGGTACTACAAGGACCCCGCCAATGTGGAGCGGGGTCCCTTCCCGCTCCTTCATCTTCTATGGTGGCATCAGAACGGCATGCTGTGTGACGCCACCCCAGTCAAGATGCGTGGCCACCAGTCATTTCAACCTCTGGGCAACGGCGACGCCCTCAGGTGAGGATGAGCGTATCGACGCGGCATGGCAGACTGGCACCGCAGCAAGAAGCATCCTGTCTCAGAGTAGCCATGTCTGTCTCTGTCGGTGGTCTGTGTGTCTGTGTCTGTGTGCCTGTGCATGTGCAGGGAAGCGGCAGTGCGTTGGCAGCACGTGTGTGACAGTGAGGACTTCCTGAGGGCGTTCCCCCTGGCCACCAGTGGAGATGACGAGGAACATGAGCGGCAGGACTGACGAGTAGATGAGTGTGAAGGCTTTCTTGAGGCAGGCAGGCATTTGGCACGATCGGGCGTGTGAGGAGTAGTACTGTTGAACTTTGTTCATCGTTTTTCAGCTGAGTATATCATGCATAATACACTGATAAGTCTTGTAGGGTCATGCAACGTGTTCATAAATGCACTAAGGCGTCTTGCTGTTCGCCGTGTCGCCCCCGCCCGCCCGCCCGCCAGCCAGCCAGCCAGCCAGGCAGCCAGCCAGGAAGGATGAACCATAAGAACTAAATAACGCGCTTCCTCCTCTCACAACCCCATAGGCTATGAAGAAGGGGAAGACCAAGGTTCGATGGATATATGAGAAAAACACAAGACTCGAAAGCTTAGAACACGTTTCGTCATCGAGTGCTAGCTATAGGTGGGGGTGCACCCAAGGAGATGCTCGTACGTATGCAGGTAGGTATGTATGTATGTACGTATGTACGTGTGGTTGTGCCCGTCCGTCCCCACGCCACCTACTATCAAAGGACCGCACAGACGCCTTTCGCATCATCGATCTCACTCACCCCGTCCCCAGAGATCGACGCAAAGCAAGGCGTCCGTGCAGCCCACATCATGACGCGCAATGCACGTCAGTCCGTCGGTTCGAGACCCGGCTACCGCCGTCCCCCTCCCCGGATCAAAACAAGGGCGACCGGCTGCTGTGTCAATCACTGACGCTACACCACGCCACGTAAGGTGTGTATGTGTGTATGTATGTGTGTGTCAGAGAAAGGCCCCCAGCAAATGGCGCTGCTACCTTGTCGCCCACTGGCACCCACCCCCATCACACATCCCACAGGCCTATGGATCGATCAGACCTTGACTGCCTCGGTGTTTGTGGCAGTGTCTGCATCCACGTCCTCGAGAGCCACTTTGTTGCTTCTGCTAGCCTTGGTGTCTCCCATCTCCTCTGCCTCGCTCGCATCGGTGTGCTCCAGCCCCTTGAGCCCCGGGACGAAGAACCGCTGCGCCCACAGGGCCACGTAGACGAGGCCAAGCAGCATGGGGACCTCGATGAGGGGGCCGATGGTCGTGGCCAGTGCTTGCTGGCTGTCGATGCCGTACGTCGACACCGCCACGGCTGCACACACAGACAAGACAAGAAAAAGGCATTCATGAGGGAAGCGACGACAAATGTCGTCTTGTCCGCTGACCAATCGCGAGCTCAAAGTTGTTTGACGACGTCGTGAAGGCCTGCGTGACAGTCACCTCGTACGTCATGCCGATCGCCTTGACGATGAGGAAGGTCGAGACGAAGGTGATGCCGAAGTAGAGGATCAGCGGCACCGCCACGCGACACACATTGCCGATCTCATCTATCACTCTTTCACCCTGGGCGGCGAACATGACGACGATTGTGAAGAGCAAGCCCACCAGCGCCAGAGGGCCCATGACCGGCATGAGCTTGTTGTCGTACCAGTCGCGCAGGCCGCACATGCCGCGGATGATCAGCCGTGTGAGGAAGCCTGCGACTACCGGGATGCCGAGGAAGATTGCGACGCTCTTGAGGATCATGACAAGAGACACATTGACGACATCGTCGCTGCCGCCGAGAAGCTCTATGTAGATGTAGGCGAATGGAGAATAGAGAAATATCTGCAGCACACTGTTAACCGCCACCAGCACGGCGCAAAACTCGCTGTGTCCGCTAGCCAGCATGTTCCAGATCAGCACCATGGCGATGCACCGCGCCAGCCCCACCATGATAATCCCGACTCTGAAGGCCGGCAGGTCGGGCAGCGTCGCCCAAGCCAGCGCCGTCATCAGGGCAGGCCCGATGATCCAGTTGAGAACGAGGCTGAGTAGCAGCTGCTGCAGGAAGCCTTTGTAGCGAAAGATCTCGGGCAGTTTTTCGTACCGAACCTTGCACAGGACGGGGTACCTGACACACACAGGGAGGGCACCAGACGGACAACTCAGATGACGTGAGAGGTTAGCTTGTCCCTGGACGTCTTACATCATGACGAGCAATCCGACAGCGATGGGTATTGAGACTCCCTCTATCTCTCCCTGGTCCCACAGCACCCGAATGCCGGTGTTGTAGTAGCCCAGGAGAATGCCACCCGCCATCGCCACGAGGACGAGAATGGGAAGAAGCTGGTCCAGCAGACCGAGCTGGCGGACGACGCTCCGCTGCTGTCCCATGCCGCAACGCTGTCAGCTTCTGCCGATTTTTCGCCTGTCGTCAGCGACTCAAATCTACTTCAAGGACGTGTGAGCGGTCAGATCTTTCCTTATCCTTTCCAGCGGAAGAATCCAAAAACATTTCACGAGCAGCTTCCGGTCTGCGAGCTAGGCGGAGAGGTGTTCACTGTATGGGGCGGTTCTGGGAAATCTACCTGTCAGAGAAGGCCCTTTGCTGCCTATGTAGGAAGACGAAAGCGTCGGTCCCGTAGTTTTCTTTTCCGATGTTCGGCTCAGCCTCGCTGGCGCGGCTGCTGATCTGCAGCGTGGCAGTGCTCCAGCCATTGGTGCTCCAGCTGGTGTCTGCCCATAGAGAGGAGTACAGCCCCCGTGACAGAAACCACGTCGCAGCCCGACGCTGGCGCCGGCTGCAGGAGGCAGACGCAGGAGCACCACCGAATCTGACCGCCGAGAGCACGAGGGTGGACATATGGCCACAGATAGAGGAGAGGGTGACGCAGCAAGGAGGGTTCACTGAAGTTGCCGACGCATTGCAGGTGCGCACAGCGCGACTGCCTGTCGGCATCCGTCACTTGTTGTCTGGTCTGGTGTGTGTTGCCAGGCGGCTCTGGACATCGCTGTCGAGTATAATGGCGCTTATGGTAAGGCAAAGGCGGCTGCCAGGTCATGGCGCGGCTGCAGCACTCACTGCACGTGTGTTTCCTTTTCCGGCTTACCTTCAGGGAGCGGCATTCTCCGAATCGAGAGCAGTGATCGTGATGTTGGCCTCCTCTTTGCCGGCGCCTCCGGCAATGTCAAGAACAACTCCGATCCGTCAGATGAAGCCACCACATAGTAAGTGCGGCACCCTTGCCCCGTGACGGCACACCTAGACACGGCACTGTTGTTTTATTTTGCCTGCAGTGCTATGCCATTCGAGATTGCGTCGATAGGGAAGATGTTTACAGCCGCGGTCATCCTGCAGCTGCGGGATGAGGGCCTGCTGGACCTCGACGACACGATCGCCCAGTACCTGTCCTTCAGCAACCAGTTCGTGCGGCCGAGCGAGCTGTCGGTGACTTCTGAGGGTGGGGGGTTCGTCATCCCTGCCAGCCTGCACCACTACGACGGCGACATCTACACGGCAAACCTGACGATCCGGGAGCTGCTGAGCCACACGAGCGGTGTGGTCGATTACTGGGAGCTGGAAGAGTTCTGGGACGACTATGAGGCTGATGCTGATCGGTACTGGTTCGGCGTCGATACGCTCATCTACCCTGCCGAAGAGGAGGCGCGGTTCGTGCCCAGTGATGGGTCCAACTTCCACTACACCGACACGGCCTATGTGGTGCTGGGGCTCGTCATCGAGAGGATTGAGGAGAAGAAGCTCTCGCAGGTCTACCGTGAGCGGATATTCGACCCACTACGGCTCAACTCGACCTACTCCCAGTACCGGGAAACCCGCCCGTAAGCGACACACACGCATGATAACAGAGGGAAGCGACAAGGGTGAAAGGCAAGGCGAGCTTCCCGTGCTGTGTGTTGTCATTCATTCATTCAGGAGCGTCAAGCGCGAGGTGAGTCGGTACGCCATCGAGGGCGGGTTGGGGATGGTGGACATGACAAACACCTTGAGGAACACGGCTGAGTGGGCGGGCGGATGCATGGCCAGTGATGCGGGAGACCTGGCTCTCTTCCTCTTCCGGCTGCTGAATGGCAGTCTGGTGTCACTCGAGAGCCGACAGGAGATGCAGCGCTTCGACATCGGCAGCCCGTCATACGGACTCGGTAGGTCGCACCCACACACAGACGCACACTTCGGAACACACTGTGTGTGTTGTGTTGTGTTGGCGTAGGTCTGAGCAAGCAGACCATTGAGACTGATGAGGAGACAGTGACTCTGCTGGGCCACAGCGGCTACGGGCAGGCTTTCGCCTACTTCTCTCCCGAGCTGCGTGTGGCCATCACGGGGTCGCTCAACAACAACCTCAACAGCGCCAACCAGCTACTGGAGGCCCTGGTCAAGGCACTCGCCTACTACAACCCCAAACCCATCAACGATGATGTCATCGACGATGACCCAATCGACGATGACATCATCAGGCTGCCCCCTGGCAACACGACACAGGCACAGGGCAGCAACAACAGCAGCAACGGGACGGCCGCGGGAGAAGCAGGTGGGCCCAACAAGGGGAGCGCCAAGGGCAAGGGCGCGAGGGCGAAGGAGGGGGAGAAGGATACCCGGCTGCGGAACAGGCAATAGGGGGATACGTGTGGGCGGGGTGTGGACGGGAGGGGTCGAATTGGCTAACCATGTCGGTCTTTTGTAAGGGTGTAAATGGTGTTTTGTGTGTGAGGGTGGTGT